TGATTGACGTTTCTGATTAGATACAATTATCGTTCTGTAATGGCACTGTACCTATAAAAAGCAGCGCAAGTCCCTTCAGTTGTTATAATTCGAACAAAAGTAGATCACAAGAAACTCAAAACTCAAAAACAAAGGCAGCAATGAAGTTAACCTACATCTTTCTGGTGGTTGTATTCGTCCTAGCCGTTCTACTGGGACAAGGTGAAGCCAAATGGAAGGGATGGAAGAAAATCGTAAGTAATTGTTTGTTTAAATCCGAATTCTGTTCAAAGATTTTAAAGATTTTCATTTATTTGAAAGACAAAGAAACATCTGAATGTAGAAAAAAAAAACAAAATAACAATGTTTAAACAAGATTCCTGGTGACGATCGACTACGTCGAACAGTAAATTATGTGTGTGTTTTTTTTTTAAACACCGTCTGTTCATTTTTGTTTTAATTTCTGTTTCTCATTTATAGGAAAAAGGCGGGAAAAGAATATTTAAAGCCGCCGAGAAGGGTCTACCAGTAATTGCAGGATACAAAGGACTCGCGAAGGGACGCAGATGAACCACGTGAACTTACCACAACATTATATTACATGCATGTAATTAATCAGTATACTTATAAGTATTATATTTTAAACTAGTTCCAAAAATAAAATTTAATTGCAACTATGTACTTTTTGGTTAATAATCGCAGAAAAACTGTACACAAGATTAAAACGTTTAAATAAAACATGAAAGGTTTGCTTAGACCTACTTTAGATATCCAGGATGCAGTTGTTTAAACAAAACTTTTAATTAAAAGTGACCTAAGTATTTGAGGTAGAAATAAACAATAGAAAAAAAATCAGCGGGTCTATATTCGGGTGTATAATTGGTTTCATATATACATATACTTATGTTAACTCAATTACTGGAAAGTATTTGATGACTTTTACAAATTTTGTTTTCGTTTTTCTAAAATGTCACCAGCAAGATTCCCTTTATTCAACGATCCCTCGACTTAATAAAACTTTTCCGCCACACTAAACGACATCTGCCGCTGCTGAGACCACGAATGTAATTAAAAGGCGTTATAACCGATTTCCCGAAAAAAAAAAAGAACAAAGCAAAAATGTCACAAGGACATTCAGTTCTGCAAAGATTTCGTGGTAAATCGGCGATTTTCTCCCAGCGGGTTTATTGCGGGCCCGATTTATGGTTATGGCGGGACGAGAAGTGAGTCCGTAGATTTTCTTTGTTCGGAGGCTTGAGAGCCAGTTCATTTGGGGAAATTAATTAGCCAATTATAACGAAGAAAGTCGCATAGTCGAGAATATACTACCCTTAAGAATAACGCGGCGTTGCCAAAATTATACCTCATACCTAGTCAATATCCCAAAGCCTTTACCCTTACACAGTCCTCAACATTGTTACATCCATGAAATGTGGTAATCTTCAGTGTGAAATTAGCTTAATCCTTTTTTTACTACAGTCAATGTGGAAAAAGTTTTGCTACTGTCACGCCATCGCCGGGAATCGAACCCGGGACCTTTAACATTATATGTCAACGCTCTAACAACTAAGCTACGAAAGGTGACAGCTACAACAGCGACGAAACGAACTTATTAGCTTCCAGAATCGTCAAAACTAATGTATATTTATCAATATATGAATTATACTGCGTATGGGGCGATGGTGTGACTTCAGCAATTTTTTGGGTCAAATGGGCATACACCAT